AAAAATCATCCATATCTTGGCTTACAACTCTATAATATTGTTCGTTATGATAAAACAATTTTTTCTTGAGTAGTATTTACATGGAAGGATTTTTTAACGAAGATATGCCTCTTTATCAAAAGAAAAAGATCGATATTTCAAAATGTTATATCAAAAAGTTACTTGCATCTAGATCCCATTTTTTGCAGTAACAAATAACGATGGTCGGGTTTTAGCATGGATATCTTCATAGTTTGATCAGAATGCAACATCAAATTTTATTTTGTGATGGCTGGAAAATAATTTATAACAATAAATATTGGAAACCATCGGCAAATTATACACAACCAGATTATTTTTTAGATAGTAGTGATTATATTAGTGATCGTATGCAATTTAACGGTTGAATAGCAATGTTCAATAGAAGCAATAGAAAAATTAAATTGTACTGATTCATGGTTTAATAATAATTTTGAGATACAGAAATGACAGTTACCTTGAATCATATTATCCCAATTTAATATTAAATATTTCAAATATGACATGTGAAGACTTGTGCAATGGCTTCATAATGAATCGAATTTCTAACGATAGAATGAGAATAGAATATTCTTATGGTAGTACGGATGAACAAAAAACAGAATTTAACATTTCATTTCATTAGATGTTTCTTTTTTTACATACGATTGTTCGAATCGATTATTCATTCCTTTCATTAGTAGTGGACCATTAGCAAAGAAGAAGTGTCTATTTTCCATTGTTTTATGCACTTGCTTTCGCACAAAAATAAATTGATCAGTCTATAGAAAATGTGTTCGAATACAGGATGAACGGTCGAGATAGTAATATAGATCCTTCTAGATGCTCTAGGATTCATGATGGAACATCAATCTCATCGAAATTTTCTAAGAGTGTGGGTTTATTATTACACCAACACTAGAGCCCTACGCGGAGTCATCGCCGGAGCCAACTGAATTTTCGGCAAAAAATTGAGTTGACTCCGACGATGGCTTCGAAATTGACTCCATGCAGGACTCTAATCCCCACCTTCTTTTTATATTTAGATATGCATTCTTATATAAAGGGAACCTAATTGTAAGAGTGAATTAAGTATTAATACAACAATAATGATATTGTTCGACGAATTATAGTCTCGAATGTAATGGAAACATTTACCATTCAATATAATCGAAAGTAATTGAAGTTTACATAAAGGTAGAAGGCTGCGCATTACTCTGATTGATACACATCAACAGGCACATGTTCAATGGTCATTGCTTTCAAAACTGGCTAGGGGATAGATTGATGACTAAAATTCGACAAGAAAAGAATCGACAGCATTAGGAACATGCCGTTGGAATAAATGTAGATGGATGATTTGCGATGAATATTTTGGTATCATGTATAAAATGTATTCAACTCATTCGTCGATTATTTGGCAAGGAAATGAGGATGTTGAAGAATAATGGATAAAAGCCAACTATTACGTTCTTCGAAAGCATTAAGTAGATTATATGGAACAAGATATTCAAAAATTATTCGAATCAATTCGACTGGTGAATGTTGGAAGAGAGTCGATAATTGATGTGAACGCATGTCTGTTGATAATGATGAAAGAAAAGAAAAGGAACACAACACTGATATAGATAAACGATGGGCAGAACACAATGTTTATCACGAATCAGCATCACGCTCTCTTCAGTGTTACTAGTCGACAAAAATCTATAGTGAATGAGATTGACTCGATCAATCTAATGTTCATTGAATACTTGTCCACATTACACATTCGAGCAATACGAGTATGCAGATAAAATTGAAAAGAAACTTCTCTCTTCAAATAAGGTGGGTGCATCTTGTCACGTGGTTGCTTTCTGTATGAATAGAGTTATGTGATGTTTATCAGTGTAATTCATTGTCCTCTCGTTATCTCTCTTTTATCAAGTTAATTATTCATTCTGTTTTCTCTAAATAGCTCGGGATAGTCATGTTCTTATGTTGTTTTATCATTCCATAGACTCATATCTTGTCTTCTCATCTTATAATCTTATCATTCAAGTACTCTCTGTCGAGTGTTGCATTAGCATGATGTCATCTGGATGAGTGTGATAAATAGCCGAACAACTGCTTAAATCAATTCTATCATTCGAAAAAAAGTAAATGAATCCTTTTTTTTTGTGTTAACATAATGTATAAGTAGATTTTGATTGATTGGAGCAACTTAATATCACCAAACAAAATGATCAACAAGTTCGGTTTGACTACCGAGAAAGCCATAGGCAGCAAAACGTCTTTAAAATGTGGAAGTGAGCAAGAGCCGACTTAGCGGAAGTGTACAAAAATGCAAAGTTTCGCTGGAAAAAAAGTAACATTTTCGAAATTTTTTTTGGAATGACGTCTTAACGCTTCTGCCATCGATAAATAAATACATCGAGTATTAATCAAGATACCAACGATAGTCAAACATCTCGATTGTAGGTCATTACTCCAATAATAGAAGAACTGTATTGTGCTGTTTATAACGAGCAAAGATTATATTAAGCTATAAGTGCATCATAGAATAAAAAAAGATTGTTTGATAATCTTATAGAAAACTGAGATGCGTGGATTTCTATGAAACATTATTATTTAGTTAAGTATTTCTATACTTTCTTTCTTTCTTTCTTTCTTTCTCATTCTTATATTTTCTTGAACAAAAACGTTCAACAGATACTTAAATGATATCAGCGGGACATACTTGAACTAATAAGAAGTAGAAAAGGTTACAACATCTAAATAACTGGTGTGGTATATTCAGCGTATTGAATTTGATAACCAAGAGCTAGAGCAATTAATTGAAAAATTTTACTAAACATTGAATAGAAAAGTTGTGGAATGTCACATCTGTAAATATCATGGCCGATTTGAACTTGAAGTGTTGCTATCAAACTTGGACTATCACGCCTAACTCCATTAATATTTTCGAAGTAAGAATCAGCACTTCTACCAGGTATCATTCCTTGATCGTTGTAGAGCGTTATATTCACAATTAAATCATCATTACCAGCATTCCAAAATGTATGACATGAACCTTTTGGTATAAATAAGTATCCATGAGTTTCTATTGTACCATTCATTTCATTTAAGATGTATCCTAGTGTGCCTTTCTCCACATCGAATCTTTCATCTTGTTTAAGGTGATAATGAATTGGTGGAGTACAAGGTCGTTTCAGTGGATGTAGACTTGTTGGTGAGTTACCACATGGACCATCATGCATAATTGTCTGTTTGATCGTCGAATGAGTATGGTCCGTTTCATTTGATCTCAATACAAATTCAATTACATCTCCTTTATGAAATGAATTCACTTGAATAATGCGTTGTCCAGCAGTGTGAGAACGTTGTATTTTATCCTTGCGGATATACATCACTAATATTGACACCAAAATGAAAATAAATGAGTATTTCATTGTTGTTCGTAATTCTAAATAAAATTATTTTTATGTAGATAAAGCATAAGTAACTTTAAGATTTGCTTTTTTTTTCTTTTTTTCTTTCATATTTGAATGTGCGTAGAACATCATTATCTGGATTCTTTTCACGTGCTCGATAGCAAACAATGATTCACCATGTTGATTTACCTAGCTCTTTGGTAAGGGTATGAGAGTTGGCTACACCTCAATCCGTATCACGATGAGAGTTGAACTATGATCAGTGAATTGGTAATGTGATGGCAATTCAAATGTATAGCAAAAAAATGTTTTTCTCATTATTCAATTGTGATTTTGCTAGAACTCCATTGGTTCAATTCTGTACAAGCACTGGGATTGATCGAAAAAATCGATTCATGGTGACTAGAATCGTGATCGACCTGTTTTTGTTTTGAGATTTACGTATATAAATTGAAATAAAGTTTATCTCAAACTATTGCTCATGAATTTCAACAATTATTATCAATAGATTTAGCAGTGATATGGGTCTATGATTAGTAGAAATGTATGGTATTGTGAAGATCATTTTTGAAACTAAATAAAACTGAATATGATCTTATTTTTTGAAAACATGTAAAAAAGAAGAACATCTTTATTCTAAATTTCTATGATTTTGCATATGATCGATTCATCAATGTTATCGACACATTTTTGTGAATGGGACCAAGATAAAAGAAGAGGCAACTGACAAATGCTTATCGACTATTGACTAATTTACAAGATGTGGTTCGATGAAATTCACAGGGATGGTCTTACATTTGAATTCGGAATATTTTTCACGATTTGGTCAGAAATGGATCATGCAATAGATTGAGATACATGAGTGAAAACTAGATTCTGATCCGCAGGTTGTAAGATATCATATCTCATGATAGACGCTACTAGAAAAAGGTGCCGGACTTTTCGTCACAGCATAAAGTATTGCAATGTTTTATAGTACAATACATCTGTGTGCACCCAACTAATCTTGTAGAAAATAATGATGAAAAGTGAAGGAAAACAATTAAGAAATACTGTAGTTTCGAAAACAATTGAATACTGAATTAAAAAAGGATTGACATGTTTACAAAACCTCTACAGATTTTGTGCTACTAAACTATGAGAATCTTTTGTATCAAAGTCTTTCAAATTCGCTCAATGAAATAAAAATTTTAAGTGAAGTTGCGAATGTTTCGGATATTTCTTGAATACCTTTCTGTTGTCTACGTAATTAAACAGAGTTTTAAACAAGATTTTACAGATATACTTGTAGAAAAACATTTGTGAATTATGTAAACATATGAATCTTTTTTCAATTCAATAGTCGATTTTTTTTCAAAACTATAGTATTTCTTGATTGTTCTGCTTCATTTTTCATCATTATTTTCTACAAGATTAGTTGATGATATACAGATCAATATCATATAAACACTTTGGAAGTCGCTATTCAAATAATTCTCCAAGTAAATCTCAATATTCGTGTTTCGAAAGTAAAGTTTTCAATGAAATCATTTTTGATTGAAATTGTATCTTAGCTTGTTATCTCTATAAATGCCATGAAGTATGGTTTAGTATAGTCCCTCCCCCTCCATACTATAGAAATCAATACTAACACCTTTTCATTGGTTTCACTCTTTCACTGCACACGCTTTACTTGCTTCCAAACCAAAAGTAACCAATCTAAATTTCACATGAAGCGAAATACAAACATGATACAGAGAACCACGGCAGAAACTTATGACGAGGATCACGACGTATATTTCACCAACATCCTTCATGCAACATCATGGCAAAACTTTACCCTAGAATTTCATAATAACATACTTTTTTCATGATTAAAAAGTTTCTTGAATGTTTCCTAGTTCAAAAAAATAGCGATAAATCATTCCATATGTGGATTGAATCATGTTTCAAATCATGTCTAATGCTTGAAATTTCGTGGCTACATCGTTTTCTCAGATTTAAGTGTTTCATTATAAAAAAACAAAGAATGAATCCTTCAAGAATCTAGCGCACAAGCATCAAACATTTTCTCTTGAACAGATAATATTGCGATGACATTTTACAAGTATTCTAAGTGTTTTTATAAGCTTTTGTCAATCGATGATCTATCAATCGCACGAGATTGAGAAATCATTTTAGATTATTTAAATGGTGGTTCAGTTCGAATACGAGATATACGCGGACAAACTTTTTATCTTCGACCTCAATGTGACTTGAGAAAATTCAATCGGAAAATGTTCATGCGTTTTACAAGATATCGTCTTGATGAATTTTAAATATTTGCTTAAGGCGTACATCTACTAACGCATTCGATAAAAGTTTCTGACATCAGAAACGCTATATAGTATTTTAGCTGACAGATCAAATGGTAAAATATGAGCAACAAGACTATTAACAGATATCACATGAAATCATAAATGTATTTGTTGAATTTACTTCGCTATGCCGGTTCTTCGTCACTTAATAATCAAATAAGTAGTATGAATTATTTGTGTAATGATCGCACAGGCTTCGAAATATTCTCAATTATCAGCCACCCAACTAGTGAACTCGACAAGCAATCAATAATAAGATAGCTGAGTGGGCAGAGGGGCGGAACTGGGTGCGGGTGCAGGTGTGAGTGTGCGTGTAGGTAGAGACGGAATGAATATTCAAACAAGCATTCACACCCTCAAACAGCGGATTATAGCTGGAATAATGACCTCGTAAGATTAAAAATTAATTTCATTAAATTATCTAAATGCGAATAATAACATGAGGGAAAAGATAATCGGATAAATCCAACAATTATTATTTATTTCATTTCGTCACTGACTTATTGAGCCTTATTTTCTTTCTGATGTATGTTTTTATGACTTCTTCCTACGGTCATTTTGTAATTAATTGTGAAAGTATTGAAATATTAGATGATGTGTTGAATTAACTCAGAAAACAAATTTAATAGTAAGATTATTATTTTAATTACTTTTGAAATTGTTTCTTGTTCTTTTTTATTTTTTTGTCAAGCATCTCTTCTAATGGAAGTGGTACATGTTTTGTTATATTTGTTCTATTAGCTTCACTAATATTTGTCATTGTTGTTATTTCATTCTAACTGTTGATTCTCCTTCTTCAATATCATCATCATTTTGTTTTTTGTACTTTATTTATTTCATCACTCCTAAATTATATGTCATATTATGTATATCACATATTTTGTTAACAAGTTGAATAGTTGAAAATCTTTTTTAATTGTCTAAACGCATAATCAGCTTCATCATCATTTAATTCATGATCTTGACTATATAAAGTTGTATCTAATATTTTATTTAAAAGATCTTTTCTAAGATTTTATTCAATGAGATCGTTTGATGCAGATGCTTGATCAATCCATGAATAATTATCATTTCGATTTGTCCAATTTGTAAAATATCGGACTATCTAGGAACAAATCAATTCTTTTTGTTTTCTTCTAGTTATAACTGAAATTTATTTTTACACATTCAATTGAAAGGATACAACTCCTAGTTTAGCGTTGAGTTGAGTAGGCAAATTTATTTCATTATGAAAGTATATAGAGTGTGTATAGAACTCATCGAGTCGAAAATTTTCAGATCATGGGCTCTCGATGTGTATGTAAATTAAAATCAATTTTCTGCGCTTATTTTTATAAATACTATAGATGGGAACTTACTCTATCACCTGTAAATTCATGCACAATTAAGAATTCATAAATGACAAAAAGAAAGATTACAATAGTTATCAGATATTGTCAGCATGAATGAATCCAATTATTACATGTTTTGTTATATGAAAAAGATTAGAATGCGGATACATGTCGATTAACCTAGCTACTCAACCATGGCACCTATTTTTAAGAAAATAGATATATTAAAAATTTGGTAGTTTAGTCAAATATCATTGAAATCGGAAAGGAGCAGCCGAAGAGATCACTCGTTTAGCCATCAATTGTCAAAAAACTTAATACGTTTCAATAATATTATCATAAAGTGCATCATGCAAGACTATTTCCAAAATTTGCTCAATCAAATTCATGTATTGCATTGAATTTATGTACACTTGAATGTTATGAAATACCACAAATAATTCCATGAACAAAAAAAACAAACTAGTGCTCCATCGAAATGGATATTGACAAAAATAATATGATATTTACAGAACTTTATACAAATATAAAACAACAAGTTGAAAAATCTTTAACAAATCTTATTGAACATGTATATGAAATAGAAAATTTAAACAAAAAAAAAATAATCAATATTGAAAATTCAAATTCATCAAATAATTATTTAAATTTAATTATTCAATCTGTTCAAAATTATTCACATGATTTTATTGAAATAGTTGAACATTTAACAGTTTGGCTTGAATTAGAAATTCCATCTTATAATGATACTAATGATTTTTGTATTGCTACACAAAATGAAATACTCGATGAAATAGCTTAAATAAAATCAAATTCAATTGCTTATATAAGTCAAATTGTTGATTATCTTGAACAACGTGCTGTAGCTAATAAAGAATTATTTAAACAATCACAATTTGATGATAATTATCAATTATATAGAAATTTAAAATTAATGCTTATAGATATTAAATCTTATATATTACGTATATGTAATATATTAATAAAAAATAAAGATTTAATTAATAGACAATCATCACATCATCAACATGTCAATAATTATTTTTAGATAAGAATATTTGAGCCCGAATTCTAAAAATTCATTAATAACAGTGAGTAATTGAAATCAATGTTTAGAATTCCAGGAAAACTAGTCGAATGATACTTTCAAATTCGTTGACAAATGTTCCTCAAGATGAACGAGTGGATTATAAAAACTAGGATATACATTTATTTTATTTGCTATTAAATTATCATTATATTCTTATTTGAACACACTAAGATACATTCCAGTGATTTTACCTTCAGTACTAACACAAAATAAATTTAATATGTATTTAATTAAATTTTTTAATTTCATTAGAAGAATAAATTAATTTTAATTGTTGCAAAACATTTAAAATTTCTAGATTTAATATTTTGAACAATCAGAGATAAAATCTTTCCGAAAGAAAATAACTATTTAGTTAATAATACTTAAAATATTTAATACGAGACATTTACTCACGATATCTGATAAAGAGAGAAGCCAGAAAATATAGAGTATTGATTACTGAATGTGAATATCAAAAATTCTTTTTTTTTGTTAAATAAAAATAAGATTACAAGTAGATAAATAGTCAATGTTATTTTGACATTGTTTTAAGGTTATCTGATTAAATTTTTGTCGATTTTTTTCTTTCTTCTTATCCTTGTTTTTCTTTATCTGTTGATGGTAATGTTTGATGTGAAAAAATAGCTTTTTCACGTCCTGTATTATCATAAAGTCGAGTTATACTCCATTGTCGAGCATTATTCCATGTTGGCAATCTTGTTTTAATACAAACAAATGATTGTTGTTGTTGTTCTTGAGTTTCGGGTACTATAGGAATTGGTGTTGCTGTATTCGACCATAATTCTATTGTTGTTAATGGTGGAATTACAAATTGATCTGTAAATGTATATCGAAGTATTGATTGAGTATCTGTTTCTCGTTCAATATACCATCCTGTTAAATTATATTTTTTCTTTGTACTTATATTATCAATAATAATAACTTCACCTGATGGTGAACATCCATTAAACATAACAGGACCTTTTGAATGACGTCGAAAAAGAGTTTTTGTATGAATAAGATCATCATCATCATAATCAATGCCAGGAATATAAATTGTAGTCGTTTCTGTCATATTTTATTTTTTTAACACAATTGTCCTTTGTAACCGTCAAGATCAGAATGAAGGAGAAATAAAAGTGTAGGACGAACTAGTCAAGCGTTACGCTCATTCAATTTGATGGCCTTATGATTATTGATAATAAAAGTAATTCCTATGTAAAAGATAAGATGAGAATAAGCGAAACGAAAATTAGAAATAATACAAATGAGTATTATTTTCGAAGGAGGAAGATAGATGTGTTTTTTTTTTATTCGTCCTTTATTATTTTTTTGTTCTTAATCTATGTGACAAGACTAGAATGACAAACCAAGCCATTTTTTATGTGTTAACAAACCACGTTCTTTCAACAATAATAATAATTCAATATAATTGTTGTTGTTTTTTTATTCTCAACAATAAATTTCTCATATATATCCTTGTTCATTTCTCCTTTTCTTTTTTTTTTTTCTTTTAATCAAAAGAGAAATATAAAAAAAGAAAAAAAAAAAAGAAACTGTTTATAAGAACAAGACAGAAAAAAAAAGAAATATCAACTAACATATAACGACAAGTAACAAATCAATTGTATGCTTTTTTTATCAAATATAGACAAAAAAAAAAAAAAAATATATATATATATATAATGTATAGAGATTCATGTTTTTTTTTTTAATAATAAAGCGTATTTACAAATACAGATGAATATTACATCGACAATATATTTGACTAGAATAATAAAGATTATGCAGATGGTTGTTTTCGTTTTGGTATAAGAAGTGTACATATTGGTGTACTATCAAGTTTAACATCATCATTTGAAATAATTGTAAGTGGAGAAGATTTTATATCCGAAACATTACTTGCATCTTCTAGCACACTTGTTTTATTTGTATTTATACCTTCAATATCAGCTTTAAAAAAAAAATCCATGATGATTTATTTCAACAAAAAAATAAAATAAAATAAAATTTTAACATACTCATAATAACATTTGAGTCATCAATTATTGAACAATTTTCATTTGAATTCATTTTACGACGTTTTGATGGTGATGCACCTTCAACTATGTTTGATATTGAACCAGTACGTTTAACTGTTGGTGTTGTAATTGAAGGATTATTTGTCAAAGATTGTTGCTGATCAGTAGTAGTAGTTGGACCTAATATAATAAAACTCATTAAATATTTTCTAACAAAAATTTCTAAACATCTCTCAGCAGATATTCCAAATGTTACAGACAAGAAATAGGGTAGAGTCCTGGACTCTAGTTGTAAGGTGCGTTAATCACTGAATACAAAAAGCCTGAAAAGTATCTCGTATCTTCGGGATGGCGATCTAATTTCGATTGTAAAACTCCAATTAAGTGAATCCACCGCCTTTCTTCCTTCACATTAGATATCAGCTAAACATCCATGTTTGCTTACTCAGAAAAATCTTTTTCTTTTTTTGATATTATAGTTCGTGTGCTGAATTATATAGAATATTATGAATAAAACCGAGGACTAGAAGCTCTGCTGTTGGTGAAATTTTCTTGTTACGGCATTTTAATATCCTGCAATTCAGTAAAGTAATTATAACACGAAAAGAGAGGTCTAATGATACGAACTCTTTCAAGGTTTTTACCCGTATTAGAGAATATCAGTTGTCGAGATTATCCTTCATTAGAAGCTAAGCTTATTCAAATAAATATGTCTTTCATGATAATAGGATTAACAAAGTAAAATAGACTTTTTTTTTTAAAGTATGTATAATTTAACTATTGATTTATTGTTATGTACGACATTTCTGCTAATAAGGAAACGTTTTTTTTTTCGTCGAAAGTCTTCATGATATTATTTTAACCTTTTTTAGAATTTAATGATTTTTTTCTTGATACGCCTTTCTTTGATGTTATTTCATCATTAACTTCTTGTTCTTTATCATCTTGTTCTATACGTTGAAGAATTTCTTTTGGTACAAGAATTTTCTAAAAAAAAAAACAAAAGATAATGAAATTCTTTATTTTTTCTTTTTATTAAAATTTTACTTGAAATTGATGAAAATAATTTGATAATTCAAATTTTGTTTTTTCATCTAATATTGGATCATAAATACAACCAAATAAAGGTTTTAATTCTCGTTGTTGATTTAAACGTGCTACTTTCTTATCCCATACATGTGATTTAGCTGCTTCACGAGCTTGTTTTGTCGATATAGACTTAATAGAATAATAAAAAAGAAAACAAAAATTCTCAAATATAAAATTTTTCTATATTTTTTATTCTTTACTTGTTGTTGTTCATCTTCATTTAATTCATCATCTGATAAATGACCATGTGGTACAATAAATGAATCAGTATCACTATCACTATCCATTACTTCTAAATCACTTAAATCATCAGCATCCGAACGAAGTTCTTCACCATCTTTACATGGTTCTTCCCATTCACCTTCGGAATCAACTGTATAATCAACCTATTGGGAAAAACAAATAATAATAAATATTGATGTTATATTGATAATAAAATTATACATTATCAATAGATGCTTCTGGTTGTAATGGATTAATATTAACATTTAAAGCTTTTTTAAATGTTCCATAGTATGGTGGACGATTAAAATATTTTTCTGGAAAATGAATATATCGAGTTTTTAATACATATGGATTACTTGCAGTTGTTGCTGTAAGCGTTATAAGACTACTATTCGAATCACTAAAAAGAAAAAAAGAAGAATATTAAATTTTCCTTCAAAAAAAAAAAAGATAAACCTGTTCAAACGTGGACGTAAATTAATTTCAATATCAATTTTTTTCATTGATTTTATATTTTCAATTATATCCGATACAAAACTAATATCCTATTGAATATAATATACAAAAATAATTAAAATAAGCATTAAAAACAAAAGAAACCTGTTTCGAAACCAGTTGATCAAAAATATCTGTACATCGTTGAACAATATTATTAATATTTGTTGTTGATGTTTGACCATCTTTCTAAATTAAATGAAGAATTTTAGTTCAATGACCGAATTGAACTATTTCCCTCTAGGAGGGGTAAGCCAATCAGTTGAGCCGGCGCGACCAACAGAGGAAAAGTGTTTTAGTGCTGATATTAATCTTACACCACTATAGATAATTATTTCTTGCAGTACAGAAAACGGGCGAAATAGAATTCTGCCATATAGAAGTGATACATCGTCATAAACAATTTGTGTAGAGAAGAAAAGGATGTATGACACACTCTAAAAAAAAAAGGTATTCCCGGGAACCGACCGAAAAAAGTTTTTGAGGGTTCGGAAACCCATTTTTTACCCTCGGAAACTTTTTTAATGGTTTCCGAACTTCGAAAACCCATTTTTTGGCTCTCGGAAACCTTTTTCGACTGACTTCGGGAATACCTTTTTTTTTAGAGTGCAGAACAAGTTTATATTAAGGTTTTCTAAAAAAAAGTTACTTTTCATAAGAATAATCGAAATTAAGAGGGAGATAGTCTGTGATCTGATCTCTCATAAGCGATAAAAAAATTTTTACTCGACACCTCGTTTTTTTCGAAAACAAAAATCCTTTTCATTTTATAGGTTTTTGATTGTATCTCTCAGAATTCTCCAAGGAACTTCATTGTAGCCAAAAATTTTTTTTTTGTGTTTAGGGCTAGCGACATGCGTGATCTTTTTTTTTTAAATAAACTTTTTTATTATCATATAAGAAAATGTTTCTAGAGAAACAGCGCCATTTTTTTAAAGTCATTGAACTTGTGATTCCTTTTCTCTCTGATTAAAAAGAAAGAATTTAAAAAAAACGCACGATTCTGTGGTGCTCTGCATCCTGATATGCTCTAAGTGGTTAGTTAAAATCAAACAAGTTCATATAAATTCTAACTTGTGAAGGTTTATCAATTGGTTTAAAAAATCTATTCATATAAGTTGCCATTTGTTTATGAAGTAATTCTTGTTTTTGTGCTGCTGCTTGTTTTTGTTCTTTTTTTTGTATTTGTTCAGCTTTTTTATTTCTGAAATTAAAGATAAAGAAAAAACAAAACATGATTAAATGAAAAAAAAAACAAAAGATTCTTACGCATTTTCTGCTTCTTTTCGAGCTTTTTCTTCAGCTTTACGAACTTTTTCTAATTGAAGTTCTTCTGCTTTTCGTGCTTTTTCTAATTGAAGTTCTTCTGCTTTTCGTGCTTTTTCTAATTGAAGTTCTTCCGCTTTACGTGCTTTTTCTAATTGAAGTTCTGCAGCTTTTTTTGCTTTTACTAAATATTAAAGAAAGAAAAAAAACAATGATTGTTGTTTTTTTTTGATTGATAAATATGTCAATTTACATTCTTCTGCAAGACGTTTTTTCTCTGCTTTAATTGCTTGTTCTTCTGCCTTTTTTGCTTCTCGTTCAGATTTTCGTTGAATCTAGAAAAAAGAAAACTTATTTTAAATACAAAATTTTCCTTGTCTTACTTACATATTCAACTTTTGATAATCTTATTTTAGGTGTAGTAGATATCGTAGTATCAATTTCTGTCGAAGGAGCACAAATTGGAAATGTTGTAGACAGAACTACACTTTCTTCCAAAGACGAATTATTATTATTAGCAGTAGGAACATTATTATCTGAATCCATCTTAAAAGAATATACAAATATTACTGAATGTATATTTTCTATTCAAAACAAAGAAATTATTGAAATGATTGAGATAGGCTACATACACTTTTATGTATATGTACGAAAATCGCCATTAAAAAAGAAGTGCATTCAACAATTTTCGTAGAAAATTAACGAAATGAAAAAGGGGGCGCTCGATGACAGTCAATTTTGTAAACTTGCATATATATATATATTCTTCTATGCATGATATGTAAAAACATATTTATCAAATAATTTAATTCATACGAAGAATTTCTTTCGTTATTTTTAAGGAACATGACTAATAAAGTAATGGGAGGAGCTCAGCCTTTCTGGACCATGTGTGCAAAAGGGGGCGGAGACTCTCATAGTGTTTCTAGAAGAGGCTGAAACACCCTTTTAAGCAAAGTTCAATACCTTCTATGGCGGAAACTGAGTAGAATCCATCGTATCCAGACTCGATCGGTTCTAGTAATCGAATACAGAAAAAAAGTATTTCGTATCTTCTGGACGACTAACCAAGTGTGGTTTGACTGGGTCCGAAAATTTTAGACCCAATGAACTCTGAAACTGAGTTCTCTCTAGCCTCTATCTGGTTACATCGATATAATAACGGTGAATTGGAAGTTCTTCTATCACTTTGATTCGACTCTAGAAAATCTATTGAATTCATTTCTTCAATAGTATCCACTGTCTAGAAATTGAAAATTCAACTAGTAATCAAAGTGAAGTTCAAGACATTCTACAATGAGGTGTCTGGAACACTGTCACACGCTAATAGACTACTGCCATACACAACCTCTATGTGGATGCTCCAAACACTGAATTCAATTTTCAATTTCTAGACGATACGTATATTTCGAATTTAAAAAATGATAACATATAGAATTTTTCATACAATACTTCTTCGACAACTAAGGACAACTATAGATAATTCTCATTCTATATATATATATGTATATCTAAAGTAGTATAATGTGGAGTAATGGATTCTAGAGTTTGGTTAATGACAATTTGAGGTTCATTTCATACGATTGAAAAGACATAAGAATTTCTATAATGATTTAATTTTATTTAGTCTTTTAAAACTAAATGATATATCTCTAATGTATTCATCATTATTTGATCAACATTGTCAATTAATTACTGATTTTATTAAATATCATCGAGATCATAATACTTCATCAATTTTTCATACATTAAAAAATCGATTTTATGCTGCATTTATTATAAAAAAAAGTTTGTTTAAATAAAAAATAATAATAAAATATTTTCTATTTAATTATAATTAAATAGGTCTAAATGATATAGGAAAAGTAGTAGCATTTGGTGTTGGTAGTCGATGTACATCACCGGATAATATTGATGAAGATGGATGTGTTCTAATTGATTGTCATGCATTAGCTATGGCAAGACGAGCATTATTACAGTATGTTATTTACTTATAAATCTATAGAGAAGAAATTGTTCAATATCTCTATTTATTATGGAATTTTTAGAATGTGTTAAAAGTCTAATTACAAAATCAAAATTCTGATTGTTCTATTATTTGAAATCTTTTTTTTTTTTTATAGATATTTTTATAGTGAACTTCATCAATTAGCTCATGGTTTATCTTCACATCGAAATATTTTTGTTGATCCTCATACTGAAAAATTACAATTACGTAATAGTGTATCAATTCATTTAGTTCTATCCGATGCACCGAATGGTGATGCTAAAGAATTTCTTCCATTAGATACAAATAATTATTTAAATGCATATGATGCTGTAAGCATAATGATTCTATTTGAGTTAGATATTATTGATTGATATATAGGTTCAAATGAGAATGGCAACACATGCACCTGTTTATGAAACACGTGAACAAGGTTTATTAAGATATAAATATTTAGAAGGTACAGATACAATGGCTGCAATTCATCGACAACAATTTGGTATGATGTCATGTAGTGATAAAATTCTTAAATGGAATGTTTTGGGTGTACAAGGTGCTCTACTTTCAACACTTATTGAACCTATTAAAATTTCTTCAATTACACATAGTAAATTTTGCATTTTATATTAGGCAAAATAAAATCTTTTTATTATAGTGAGTGGTTTTAAACAACAACATACTTCACGTGCATATTGTTGTCGTTTGAGTAAAGCGTCATCAACAATTAATATTCATCATCCGAAACTTGGTATGATAAAAATTTTTTGTTTTATTATTAGCATTTTGTAGTTTTATGACCGATGTTGGTTCTAAAGGAGCAATGAGCTCTAGGATAGTAGATTAGAACTCATCGGGTTCAAGAATTTCTGGACTCGGACCTGATCGAAACAAAATTTTCAGACCAAAGACATAATAGCATGGACAAAGCATCATACTATCATTGAGCTTATGTATCATATCATCCAACTGTTGTTCTAAACAACTTTCTAGTTCGCCTACTGTCAGTTTATTGTTATTGCTGACCACTGATAGACATGATATGTTAATTGGAACACTCTCCAATAGTCGTACTGACTAACGATTATCGTCAATTTGATGTATATGATATTTGTCAAAGGCAATGATTACTAACTAAAAAAAAAACAGCTTGTCGAAAAATATCCTGAGTGAAAATTTAGATAGGATTTTAAATTGTTTAGTTTTTTGTTGACAATCATGAACTTGATGCCTATATGTAATATCATATTGTACAATTTTGAATAGCTTCTGTAGTAAAATGACATGATTCGCAAATGTAACAGACAAAGGCACGCGCCATCTTCATAGCTGGCAACCTTGTTTAATATATAAGTAGTAAAATTAATATTGTTTACAAATTTTTTCAATAAAATCTATAGGTCGAGCAAAAAATGCTATAATTTCATCAGCTGATCTTGATCATGATTTAAGTTATTCATGGTCAACTGCTTATCCTACTGGTGAATTAATCGATGCATCAACTGGTCGTCCTACGACAGGGTAAATTATTTCTATTTGAATCAATAATTATACAAAAAACTAAAATTTCTTCATTTTAGTGGTATTAGTATTATATCAAAAGTAACATTATTGAGTGAATTTAAACATTTATGTTTAAAAATGTGTTATCCATGTAATATACATATGACATATAATGAATTAAAAAAATTAAATAAAGAATATTTTAAACAAAAACAAACAATGATTTTATTTCTTGAACAAGCAAATTTTGGTTATTGGTCATCAGATAAAATACATTTTGAACAATTTAAATATTCATCGAATATTTTACCTATTAATCGAAATAATTAGAATTATTAACTTTTTTTTGTCAGATAGATTGATGTATTTTCTTTATTGTTTTTTTTGTTTTTCTTCATTATATAATAGATAAATAAATGATATGAATGTGATATTCAAAGTACAAAAATTTGATATTTTAGATCTAAAAAAAAAATGTTAGGATCAAAGACAATGTTAAATTTACGACATGTGACACCTGTTTATCGATGTCTTATGCAAGTATGTTATATGAACTATGAGAGTTGGAAAAATATCAGGTTTAGGAAATGATTTTTAAAAGGTTTTCATTGAACATAAGTTATAATAATAATTTCAATACTTCTGGTTTTCTTCATAAGAACAAAAACAAAACAAAAAACTATATAATTGATGATGTATATATATTGTAATTTATTTTAAGCAACAAATCACTGATATGTCTATGATAAATAAATATTTTCGTCGATGTCTTGCACAAGTTGTTATTGAAAAGAAAACATTTAAACGAGATAAACCACATATTAATATTGGAACAATTGGTCATGTTGATCATGGAAAAACAACTCTTACAGCTGCTATTACACGCAGTATGATTTAACATATAGAAAAAAGAAAAAAAGAAAACTTTATTTCTATTTTTTTAATAAATAGTTCTTAGTGAAAAAAAATTAGCTAAATTAAAAAAATATGAAGATATTGATAATGCACCAGAAGAAAAAAAACGTGGTATTACAATAAATGCTGCTCATATTGAATATTCAACATCGAATCGACATTATGGTCATGTTGATTGTCCTGGTCATGCTGATTATATCAAAGTATAGATGAATTTGGAAATTCATTAATATTATTATTTTTTTTTTCTTTCTAGAATATGATTACAGGTTCATCACAAATGGATGGTGCTATTCTTGTTGTTGCTGCAACAGATGGTGTCATGCCACAAACACGTGAACATCTACTTCTTGCTAAACAAGTTATATATAAAAATATTTTCATTTTAATTTTTATTGAATTTTTTTTTTTTATTTAAAAAGATTGGCATTGAAAAAATTGTCGTTTTTATGAATAAAGCTGATGCTGCTGATAAAGAAATGATTGAATTAGTAAGTTTTTTTGTATTATTATTTTCGAATTAAGATAATTCATTATGATCTCCTTGAATAATTCCTTCTGATAATTAGTAACAATTTATGTATAGTTAACCATTCATTCACTACTACTGTAGAATCACGACAATTTTAGGTTGAACTTGAATTACGTGAATTATTAACACAAATTGGTTTCGATGGTGAACATACACCAATTATTCCAGGTTCAGCATTATGTGCACTTGAAGTTTGTTGATAAGATTTTTATTAATTTTGTTTTTTCGATTACGATATTTTATTTTAGGATCGTGATCCAAAATTAGGTAAAGAAACAGTATTAAAATTACTTGAAGCTGTTGATACATATATTCCTGTACCACCAAGAGCTGCTGATCAACCATTTTTATTACCTGTTGAACATGTTTATTCAATAGCGAGTAATGAACTTATATAAAAATAAGTATCACAGATCGTTGATTCTCTTTATAGATAAAGGAACAATTGTTACTGGACGGGTTGAACGTGGTACTGCAAAAAAAGGTGATTCAATTGAAGTTGTTGGACATAATAAACTTAGTAAAGGCATTATGGGAGGTAAAAATTTTTAAAATATTTATTTGAATAAAAAAAAAAAGAAGAATAATAAAGGTCTTGAAATGTTTCATCAAACAATTGAACAAGCTCAACCAGGTGATCAATTAGGTATATTATTAAAAAATATTCAAAAAGAAGATGTACGTAGAGGTGTATTTGTTGGTAAACCTGGTTCATTAAAAATGTATAATAAATTTGATTGTCAAGTAAAATAAAAATTCTTTTTTTCTTTTTGTTTTTTGTTAATTATTAGTTTTATTAGACTTATTTCTTAACAAAAGAAGAAGGTGGTCGAGAAGATCCAATTCCAAAAGAATTTGTATTAACAATGTATTGTCGAACATTTGATATTGGTGTTAAAGGTATTGTACCTGAAGGTCGTGAAATGATTATGCCTGGTGAAGATGCAACATTGACATTATATTCAAGCAAACGAATGGTTTGTATTTAAATAGAGAAAAAAAATTTTTTTTTTGTTTTTTTTTTGTCATTTAATTTAAAAGAATATATATTTAGGTTTTTGAAAAAGGTGTTCGTTTTACATTACGTGATGCTGATAATAAAACAGTTGGCACTGGTGTTATAACAAATCTACATTCTGATCCATCACCAGAAGAATTAAAAAAATTCTGGAAACGTGCTGCTTAAGATAAATAAAGAAAAGTCTTTTTTTGTTTCCATACTAGAAAAAAAAAACATTATTGATTAAAAATAAAAAATAAAAAAATAAACAAAATCTTGTTTACAAGTTTCTACATTTTAGAAAATATGTTTTACTTAATTGTGATATTGATATTATGCTATGTACAAAATACAGTTGGAAATAATTACCAACCTGAACAAATTCATTTATCCTACACAGGTTTTTTTTATTGCTGTGATATAGTTATTTGATTTTAAGATTATCTATTTCTTTGAAAAAAAGGTATTTTAAATGAAATGGCTATAACTTGGAGTACACAAATATTAGCAAATGAAAGTTATGTAGAATATAGTCTATGGAATGAAGAATTGTCTTTAAGAGAAAATGCTACTATTTCAAAATTTATTGATGGTAGTAGTGCACATCGAGTATTATATATGTATAGAGCTATTTTAAAAAATTTAACAATGAATACAGTTTATAGTAAGTAATTATTCATGTGTTGTTTGTTTTATTTTATATGTAATATTTAGTTTATCATGTGGGTAGTTCATATGGTTGGAGTGCGAAATATTCATTTCGAACAATACCTAATGAAAAACGACAATCATTTGCTGTTTATGGAGACTTAGGAGTTGTCAATGCACAGAGTTTAGCACGTTTACAAAGAGAAGCTCAACTTGATTATTATGATTCTATTTTACATGTTGGTGATTTTGCTTATGGTAATTGAATTTAATAAATAAATTCTTATCTAATTTACCTTTTTTTTTTAGATATGGATGCTGATCAAGTTTGTAAAATGAATGTTTTTTTAAATCTAATTTTTCTTCGTACTATTTATTAGAGTCGTGTTGGTGATCAATTTATGAATCAAATTCAAGAAATAGCTGCTTATGTACCATATATGGTCTGTCCTGGAAATCATGAACGTGCTTAGTAAATATCTTTTTTTGTTTTCTACAAAAAAAATCATTATTTTATAGTAATTTTTCAAATTATAAATCACGTTTTACAATGCCACCAAATGGTGATGGTGAAAATCTTTGGTATAGTTATAATTTTGGCTTAGCACATATAATAAGTTTTTCAACAGAAGTTTATTTTTGGTGGGAATATGGTTTTGCACAAATATCAAATCAATATCATTGGCTTGAACAAGATTTAAAATGGGCAACAGCATTAGAAAATCGAACAAAATATCCATGGATTATAACAATGGGTCATCAACCAATGTATTGTTCAAATGCTAATCAAGATGATTGTACATTTTATAATAGTCGACCTCGTTCAGGTTTACCATATATACATACATATGGATTAGAAAAAATGTTTTATGATTATGGTGTTGATTTAGAACTTTGGGCTCATGAACATTCATATGAAAGGTAAAAAGAAAAAAAACAAATAAAATTCATATTTTTTTGAAATTATATTTAAAGACTTTGGCCAATTTATAATTGGACTATATTTAATGGATCATTAAATGAACCATATAAAAATCCAGGTGCACCAACACATATAATTAGTGGTTCAGCAGGTTGTTTTGCAAAACATAATCCATTTCTTAATCAAACACAATTATATTCAGCATTTCGTTCTGATGATTATGGTTATTCACGTATGAAAATTATTAATTCAACTCATTTATATATGGAACAAGTATCAGATGATCAAGTAAGTTTATTAAAATGACTAAAAAACAAAAATAATCGAATTTAAATTTATAGGATGGTAAAATAATTGATAATTTTACATTAATTCGAGAAAAACATGAACCTTATTCATATCATAAACATAAAGGAATTAAAATTGATTATAAATCTACAAGATATCATCATTAAAATCTCATGATTTATATTTTCTATTTTAAAAGCAAATTTTTATCAATAATTCTCTTTTTTTTTGTAATTAAAATAATTATTTTTAAAAATAAATATCTTTACTCTTTATTGAAGTATGAATCAATATGAGCAATTTCGTTCGTTAACAACATGATTCCATAAAATACAAATGCTTATATTTCTATCAGCTTAATTTTATGTAACAAATGTATGTTGAATAACTTCCGACACTTTAAAAATTTCGGCTCTATAGATTAATATCCTGCATGAGTACAACCAGATCCAACCATCTAATCCCGCGGAGGCTTCATAGTCGCACTTGTGATGTTTCTTCGAAATTAGGGACGAATCTGGACAACATTACCGGAGCTAATCGATATCTGGTAAATACTTTCACAGGACGGCTTTCAAACTTCTATTTTATATGAAAAAGTATACTATTTAGTTTCTGCAGTAAACAGTAACAAAAAAACAGAGATCTTCTCAAATTCTATAAAAAAAGCAAGTGAGTTAGAATTCACTTGGTGTCTTTCTGCTTCGAAAATCTGATCGATTTCGCTAACGAGGGAATAATCTCAGGCGTCTTGCTCCAATTTCGTTCGATAGAAGATCTCGAGGAAGTAAAACGCCTAAAAGGATTCCGACCAATGGCTTTTTCTTCGGGAGTTTTCTGATTTTCCCAGCGAAAACTAGCATAAAAAGAAAAATTCATTACTCTATATAAGGAAACTCATAGAGATCCAAAATTTGTGTTGATGGTAGTCTTAGGAGTCCTCTATATACTCTGAAAGTTTCACAACTCTCTTTTCCCGAGTTATAGGACATTTCTATAAGTAAGGATGTGGGTGTTGGCAAAGGAGCACTGACGCCTACACTCATATCCACATCTTTACTTAACTCCGCCAAAACAAATTTTGACTCCCTATGAGTTTCCTTGATGTAGTTATGAATTTTTCTTTTTATGCTAGTTTTCGCTGGGAAAATCAGGAAAGTGGTCGTTACTTCCGAAGAAAAAGCCGTCGGCCACAATCCTTTTAGGTTTTTTACCTACTCGATGTTTCATATTGAATGATATATAAACGAACGAAATCGGAGCGAGACACCTGGAAATCTTATCTTGTAAGTATATGCTGATGGCGATGGAATGGAATGTAGTGTTGGTGTCAAGCGTCACTATTGTGAATAAAGATATATGAATGCTTTTTTTCATCGCGATAATGTATGTTCACTTTTTTTGATAATTTATTTTCCTTTCCATATATTCAATCACTTGGTCATATGGTTCATAATTATCTGTAGATGAATTTTCATTAATATCGAATTCTTTTCGTAAAACAATATCGCTTACTACTTATGTGATCTGTTCTCAAGTACAATAAATTGCTAAGGGTTTTCATTCCTATGCTTAGCAGTTTGAAATAGTAAAAATATCTGGAAACGTCGAGATCTTATTAATTATCCGATCGGGTGCTAGATACCGGATCCAATTGCAGAACGCTAATATAGACCTTCGTTCCGCTAAGTTATTATTGAATAATTAGCGTTAGGAACATGACACAAAAAAATGACAAAGTTTTGCGCTGCACTTGCTTTCATTTAAAAATTCTACAAGTTCAAACAGTATCTTTGAAAACTAAATAGTAAGTTTTGTAGAAGACTCTTCAGGCTACAAAATCTCTATGCAAAGTTTTACTTGCACATGCTTAGGTTTTTCAAAAAAAAATTAAATCACACATCTTCTGCTTCTGTCAATCGAAGGTAAAAAAGACAGATACATGAAAAATATTAACCCTCCAGGACGGGTGGCCACTGATTGTTTTTGAACAGAGAGACATTATTCATTGACGACCAGGAATAGCTGTGTATGCATCATAATATACTTATTATAATGATATGTACCTAATATTATTTTCGTGATCAGTCCTGATTTTTCCTCTTTTTCATGTCTTCTCTTCTTCGCCACACGTAAGTGAGCATAATGTAAAAAAAAGGAGTTTTAGATGATGTCATCATTTACACGTCATCTCTTTCTTTCTATCGTTTTCGTATAATCAATACATATACTCCCTCTCACTCTCATCTTTTTTCGTTCTGCTACCATACTTGAATGCGTATACATTCTTTTATTCTGGTGTATTCAAATACATTTGTTTTCTTTCTTTTTATTTTTGTATGAGTCGTGTTTTGTCTGTTGTTTCTCGCATTTTCCGCTGAGTTGTTTTCTTTCTTTTACCTTCTAGAGATTTCTTTCTCTTTCCGCACTCTGATATATATATATATCCATCATTTGAAACTTTTTGACTTATTGACTAGTGACCGATTACTCTCACAAACGATATATTAGAAAAGTATTTGATATTACCACATATTTCGTCTCGTTCATTTTGTTGCTATTTGAACAAACTATGGCTGCATTCAAACATAGACGAAATACAGAAGTGAATGAAACTCATATGAATATCGAGTCCGACAGTGACAGCGATTTTCTTGATGATTTCAGCAACGAAGAATCTGATGATGAAGATTATTCATCTATGCAAAATAGATCCTGAAGAACTGGTCGTTTTACGCCTCGTTCTTTTGACTTTACAGCAGAGACTGACATCAATTCTGAAATATTAGACTCGAAAAATGAATCTCCATTAAATTTTTTCGAAGCATTATTCGATCAAACGATATTAGAACAAATAGTGAATGAAACAAACAAATATCAATCACTTTCAAACACAAGCATTCCAGATTCTTCTATATCTCATCAGGCACGATGGAGTGACATAAACATTCCTGAGTTGTATTCATTTCTAGCCATCGTGATGCTTAGGGCTCATACGAAAAAGAATCGAATAAAAGACTACTGGTCTACAGATCAGCTTATCTCTACTCCAATTTTCACTCAAATATTCACTAGAGATGGCTTTCTATCAATACTGAAATTTTTACATTTCAATGACAACCAGTAACAGCAAGGTGGCGATCGATTACATAAAATCAAGTCCATACTTGATCATCTGAGAAAGAAATTCAAACTCTGTATCAAACTACACAAAAACTTGTGTATTGATGAAAGCCTCATGCTATGGAAAGGATATTTGAATTTCAAATAAAATATACCGTCAAAACGAGATCGTTTCGGTGTGAAATTATTTATATTATGCGACTGTCACACGGATTTCATTATGGATTTTATTATCTGTACGGGCCAACAACCAGAGATTAAATTGGACAAAGAACTAGGAATGTCTGGTTCAATTGGTATGACTCTGATGAATAGTTATTTGGACAAAGGTCATGTAGTTTTCAACAATAATTGATACACAAGCCCTATTCTATTCGAAAAGCTACACTATAGACGAACAGCTGCTTGTGGAACTGTCAGAAGCAATAGAGGGTGTGGGTGTGGGTGTGAGTGTGAGTGTGTGGGGGTAGTGATCTTCTCTTCACCCACACACCCCTACCCACACCCACACCTACACTCACACTCACCAACACTGACACCCACCCACGCGCACACCCTCTTTGTCTTGCAGCATGAAAAAGAACATACTCTTCTTCAAACATTCTGATAAACCAATATCTACAAATGTTACCCAAATTTTTGAATATCTGGGTAACTAAACCAATCAGATGCAATCTTAGAAGCCCAAAATGAGTCTCCAAATAAGGCACGAATTGGGATGAACAGAAAGACTTCCCATTTATGTCAAGGACCCTATGTGTAGAGACGAAGAGAATTAGAACTTATTCTTTAGGATCCACAACATCTTATTTTACTGTTTAACAAACACACATTGTTCGCCTATATACAACAGTAGACAGTAGGACCAGTCAATGAGGAAATTGTTCTACGTCAGAGAGAAATGCTTCATCTCACATAAAGCTACACATATCAAGGAGAAATGGAAGGAGGAAAAAATCTATATAGTATATATTTGTATCGCATGCTCTTACATTCAAAGAGAAATAGCTTTTCTTTCAAGCAGAAATGCTTCGGCCAACAGAAATAGAAAGAAACAAAAAGAAAAACATATCTATATGTATATGTTATGGTCAGAGTTAGAATTCAGCCCTGTTCAGAATTCGGCCAGTCGAAATTAGAATCTTTTATGAATGATCTGCAAAACTTTAAAAAAATGTCAACAATTAGAACACAAGGGAGCCACGAATGATGTTAAGAGCGAAGATGAGGTCTGGGTAACGATAAGGAGGGGTCTGGATGAGGGTGAGAATGTGAGGGTGAAAGCAAAGTAAAAATCACATCAAAGCACCGTCTGACTCTTCAATTCACTTCACATCCTCACTTTTACCCAGAACCTTTCCT